CCCTTCCTTCCTCCCTTCCTTCCTTCCTCCTTCCTTCCTTCCTCCCTCCCCCTTCCTTCCTCCCTCCTTCCTTCCTTCCTTCCTCCTCCCTTCCTTCCTCCCTTCCTTCCTCCCTTCCTTCCTTCCTCCTTCCTTCCTTCCTCCCTCCCTCCCTTCCTTCTTCCTTCCTTCCTCCCTTCCCCTTCCTTCCTCCTTCCTTCCTTCCTTCCTTCCTCCTCCCTTCCTTCCTCCCTTCCTTCCTCCCTTCCTTCCTTCCTCCTTCCTTCCTTCCTCCCTCCCTCCCTTCCTTCTTCCTTCCTTCCTCCCTTCCCCTTCCTTCCTCCTTCCTTCCTTCCTTCCTTCCTCCTCCCTTCCTTCCTCCCTTCCTTCCTCCCTTCCTTCCTTCCTCCTTCCTTCCTTCCTCCCTCCCTCCCTTCCTTCTTCCTTCCTTCCTCCCTTCCCCTTCCTTCCTCCTTCCTTCCTTCCTTCCTTCCTCCTCCCTTCCTTCCTCCCTTCCTTCCTCCCTTCCTTCCTTCCTCCTTCCTTCCTTCCTCCCTCCCTCCCTTCCTTCTTCCTTCCTTCCTCCCTTCCCCTTCCTTCCTCCTTCCTTCCTTCCTTCCTTCCTCCTCCCTTCCTTCCTCCCTTCCTTCCTTCCTCCTTCCTTGCTCCCTCCCTCCCTCCCTTCCTTACTTCCTTCCTTCCCCCTTCCTTCCTCCCTCCCTCCCCCCCTCCCTCCTTCCCTTCCTCCCTCCTTCCTTCCTTTTTTTTTTTTTGTCATTTTTGAGACAGGCTCTCCCTATAGCTCTAGCTGGAACTCACTATGCCCTTCCTTCCTCCTTCCTTCCGTCCTCCTTCCTCCCTCCCTTCCTTCCTCCTCCCTTCCTTCCTCCTTCCTTCCTCCCTTCCTTCCTTTCTCCTTCCTCCCTTCCTTCCTCCTTCCTCCCTTCCTCCTTCCTTCCTCCCTCCCTCCCTCCTTCCTTCCTTTCTCTCTCTTTCTCTTTCTCCCTCTGTTCCTTTTTTCCTTCATCCCTTTCTCCTTTTTTTTAAAGGCTTATTTTTAAAGTCTATCAATGAGGATGTGGGTGCTGACAACTGAACTCTGGATCTCTGGAAGAGCAGTACATGCTCTTAACTGCTGATTCACCTTTCTAGCCTCCACCAACAGAGATTTTAAATAACTACACTAAAAAACATTGATCAAATCACCAAACATTCTTCCAAATGTGGAGTTAGTTACCTTCCCCATTTTCTCACCTCTTTTTTTCAGCTGTAAAAAAACCTGTAAAATAAAGTCAAGATTGTACAAGTCCTCTGCCTGATCCTGATGTAAGCCATGATTTCTCTAACTTTGCTCAGTCTATGCATATGTATTCCTATGGGTGATGTATGTATACAGTTGGGTGTGTGCCTTTAAGACAGAGAGGAGTGAGATCATTCTTCAGGGAATTCTTCTATTTATAGAGGAAGAAATATCATTCTATAAATATCGGAGGCTGAAAGGCAGCCTAGAGTTCAACTGTACCTAAGATTAAATTGTTGCGAAAAATGCTAGCCTGAGTCTGTGTGAGCAGTTCCAAACCAGCACCATGTGGATAAGGAGACAGCTGTTGACATAAATAAATAATATTTGGAGTCCACAAATATAAAACCGAAAGACTAGGAAGACAATGGATTGCTGTCTCCAGAGGCATAACAGCAAATTCTAATGATTGTGTGTGGTTCACTGAAGGACAGAGATTATCAGAAATGAATCCACTTGAATGAATTCAAGGAAGTGTCAAGGGAGGGTCTCTACCATGGCAAACCTTTCCACAGAAGGTAGTGCCAACACAGCTGTCGGTCAGGCGTCAGCTGCTGGCAGAGCGAAGTGTGATGTAAACACCCGTGCTCTGGAAACAAGGGCAACTTGTTTGTGAGCTCTGAGCATTTTTGTAATTATCAGGACCCTTCCAGTATGGAAGGAAGTGATGAAAATACTATGGAGTTTATGACTAATACAGCCAAGTCAAGCAGGATGTCTGACTGCCGTGTACACGGAGTGTCTCTGGATTGTTGTGGCTGGGGTCTTCCTCTGAGGGCAGTCATTCAGTTCCTAGAAAAACACATTCATATTACCTAAGGCTCAGATCCCTCCGTCTCCATGATCCTAGCTCTGAAGTCAGTAGCATCATTTCTGACAAGTTGAATTGGGATCAGAATTCAAGTGAAATTCTTACACAATCCAACAAATATTAATAACTATACAAACTGGTGGTAAGGTAGAAATAATAATGATAATGTTAATATAAATAAGTACCAACAGTTAGTGTTTGGAGCACTTATTTGTAATAACCCATTTGACCCTCCTAAGAATCTGTGTATTAGATATTAATTTCCCAATCTAAGAGGTGAATAAATAGAGATATAGAAAGCCTCTAAATGCCAAAAGGCATGCAGTTGATAAACGTCAGTGCTGGAACAAAGGCAGTCTAGTGACACAGCCTGCTTTGATCTGTGTGCTAGGAGATGCCATTTCTCCACTTTTGACTAGTTGTCCAATGCGAGATGCCCAGCTGAAGCTGAATTTCAGATAAACTCATATTTTCTGACAATGGATAATATTCCAAATTCCACATAGAGCAAATGTATCCTAAAGTATTATTCATTACCTGTTTGAATCTCAGAGTTTCCTTGGCATGTTATGTTTTTATTTGCTGAATCATATAGCCCAGCCAGTTCCAAAGGGAACTAACTGCACACAGTGAGGAACCAGAGAGGGGAAATGATTAGTTCAGGTTTTGAGACTGTGATAATTAATATTGATGCCAATTTGGTAGGATCTAGAATCGCCTAGAAGACAAAACTCTGGGCATTCCTCTGAGGGAGTTTCTAGATTAAATTAATTGAAGTGGGAATGTGGGTGACGCTGTTCTATGGATTGGTGCCCTGGACTAAATAAAAAGGAGAGTGAACTGAGCATCCACACTTGTCTCTCTCTGTACCCTGCCTGTGGATGTAACATGACCAGCTCCCTGAAGTTCCTGGTGCTATGCCTTCCCTGCCGTGGCGAACTGCATTCTGCAGCTATGGACCAGAATAGTCTTTCCTTCATTAAGTCACTTTTGTCAGATATTTTATCTCAGCAATGAGAAAAGTAACTAACACCAGTACCAAACTCTAAAGAATGTTTATCACAGAGCCAGGCTAAGTGCATAGATCTTTTCTTTCCAAGAGCAGTATGTAAGTACATCCTCCGGGACATGCATATTGCTTATTCACCTTTACTAATATCCATAGCTGGCTGGCCCTCTTCAAGATGTAAGAGGTTTAGGGCAAGGTTGAAATTCCTGTGTTTTCTAATGAGTGCCCACACGCCTTTTCTTTTTCCCTGTCTGTTTCTCCTCTGCTTCTTCCCTTCTTTCTTTTTGGTACATCTATGTCATGAGTGACACAAACCCCTGACTATATGTTACAGATGACTATTTCTAGAACATTCCAAGTGTACACTCAGAGTACATCTCTAGAGTGGGAGGAAGGAGAATAAGGATAATAAAGGGCTAAGAGAGAAGGCTTCCTTGCAATGCCCAGAAGTGTCACCAGGCTTCGTGAGCTGGGTCGGCAGCCTCAGGCATGGAATACACATGGGGGAAGAGTTTTGAAAGGGAGAGTGGTGAGTTGTAGGGAATCCTGTGAAGAACAAGCCTTTTATTTGGTAACAGGTTATATCATGCACAGGCTCATGCACACACACACACACACACACACACACACACACACACACGGGGGGGGGAGAGAGAGAGAGAGAGAACATATGACATATATGCCCTTATTCCTGGGTTGCAAGACATGGGCTGAACAGCACCCAGGAATTCAAATTTAGAAGGGTCTTCTTGGAAGTGGAGAAAAAAATGAGAAAGGAGTTAGAGAGAGCCCAACATCCCTCAACTATATGGCTGTATTTCATGAGGACATTATAGTATTAATTTAGTCATGCTTGACAACTGATCAACAAAATTGATAGAAAATAAAACAAATAGAAAATATCCAACGTAAGTTGGCATGGTCTGCATGCCTGTAATCTCAGCAATTCAGAAGTAGAGGCAGGAGTTCAAGACCAGCCTTGGCTACACAGTAAGCTCAAGGCTAAGGGTAGCCTGTGATACATGAGATTGTCTCAACAAACAAACAAAAGACAGAAAGTGAAAGAAAGAACCCACAGTACATCACAAAATAGTTTAGTGTGTGCCTGCGTGTGTGCATGTGTGTGTGTGTGTTGTCTGTCTGTCTGTGGGTGTGTCTGTGTGTTTACACACAAGATATAGTCAGTTCTCTGTATCCATGGATTCTGCATCCATGAATTCAATCAATATGCTTGGAAAATATTTCTCTGTATTGAATACATACAGACCTTTTCCTGTCATTATTCCCTTAACAATACAGTGTAACAACTATTTTCATAGCACTTGTATTATACTGGGTATTCGAGTAATCTAGAGATAGTTTGGAGTCTATGGGCACATGTGTCTGGGTTACAGGCAGATTGTACACCATTCTATATAAGGTATGTTTTGATATTTTCAGGGATTCTGGGACCAATCCCCAATACAGACGCAGAACAATTGTGTGTGTGTGTGTGTGTGTGTGTGTGTGTGTGTGTATGCATGCATGTGTTTAGGTTATAACATATTTCTTTTCATGAGACCTATCAAAAAAAATTTGAAGCGTTCTCCATAGACAAATGCCCATTATTTTAGGGAAGCAGGAAGCACAGGTTATAGACAGTAAGCCCTAGAGTAGAGAATCTCTGGTAAACAAGACCTAGAAAAGCATTTGAAACAGACCTACTTCCTGAAGACAGGTAAAGCCAAAGATTGAGAAGGAGTCTCTGGAAAGCATTAAGGTGCGACATGAGAAGAACATTCACTCAAAGGGAAGGAAAATACAGATGCTATGTGTGTCCCATGCTTCCCCGAAGGGCTGTAGAAAGTAGGTCATGTCTGGAGTAGTCCTTCCTGTCCCTAACACTTTTCTCTTTGGATCAGAAAGCTGGATGCAGCAGCTGGCGGGCATGGTAGTGTTCACATGAAGCTTAAAGTTCACCCAGAAAGCAAGGTAAGGCATGTAAGGAAAGCCCAACTCACACCAACCAAAGGCATTTATTTCAGTGGTGGATTTTTGAGTTGAGAATCACATTTATTTTTAAATTGTTTCTTGTAGAACTATTAAAAAAACATTAAGAGGTCCTGGGACTCAGTCCCTCAAGTTCTATTGACGTTGTCCAGTAAAACTTTTAACCATGATGAAAATATTCTGTGATATGCCACCCAATAGGTAGCCTCTAGCCACCTGTGACTTTTGAGCCCTAGAAATGTGTCTAGTGGCTGAGGTTATAGGCCAGTTGGTAGATACATACTTAGCATGTATAAAGCACTAGGTTTGATCCACAGAACCACATACATAATAGCACATGCTAATCCTAAACCTCAGAAGGAGACGTTAGGAGGATCCAAAGTTTAAAGTCATCCTCAGCTACAATGTGAGTTTGAGGGCAACCTGGGCTACATGACATCCTTTCTCAAAAATTAGAGAGACAAAAGAAAAAGAAGTTGTGTTTAGTGCAACTGAGAAACTTTGTGTGTGTGTGTGTGTGTGTGTGTGTGTGTTGCCAACTATGGGACTCAGTCTCCTGCATGCTTGGCAAGTGTTTATCATGAAGTAAAGACTTAATCTGAGAAAATGAATTTTCAAATTAATTTTACTTAAAATTCAAAATTTAGAACCCCCTCCCCCTCCACCACTGGCTGGTAGCTAAATATTAGGCAGAACAGTTCTAATTCAGCATGAATTTTTCCTTGGCACCAAATAACCTGGGTTATATCAAGGATTCGTTCTGCAACCATGCCTATGCGCTGAATTTTGTCCAAATTATTTGAGATAAACAGAAACTTGATAACAATTTGCTGTTAACTACTTCAGCTAAAGAATAGGAACATTTCTAGATTGGTTTATTATTATTGTTATATTTAAATTTTATTATTATTTTATTTATTTTATGTGTATGAGTATATCACCTGCATGTATGTAAGTGCACCCATGTTGTGGAATGCCTGTGGAGGTCAGAAGAGGGCATCAGATTCCCTTGGAACTGGAATTACAGATGTGGGTGTTGGGAACCAAACCCAGGTCCTCTGGAAGAGTAGTCAGTGCTCCTAACCTCTGAGCCATCTCTCCAGCCCCTATCTTTACATTAAACATTCAAAAATCTATCCTTATGTTTATGGATTTTAGAGTCCTTGGTTATTTTGATGTGTGTACTTCCTGAGACAAAAAGAAAAACTCAGTAAAAGACAGGGGGCTGATGCTAAGTGTACCTGGATACAAAGTTGACCTAGCTAGGATTTTTAAAGTGTCTGCGTTTAGTCTAATTTGATCACCTCGAAGAGAAGGCTAGAGTAGTCTCTGGTGAGTTTGCAATGATGGAAATTTACCAGGCTATGTAAAACAGGAACGTAAGGAAGCACCCAGGGGTGCAGGTCAGCTCAGTGGTCTTCACCTTCTCTACAGGCCTCCTTTTTTGCCTGTGTATTAGTTACTTTTCTGCCACTGTGGCTTAGGGTTCTGGAGGGGGAATCCATAATGGTGGGCAAGGTCCGGCAGCAAGCCAAAGGGGCCAAAGGCTGAGCATACACATCTTTAACTGTAAACACAGAGAGAGTGAATTAGCCGTGGGGTTAGGCGAGGCTATGAACTCTCAAAGTCCAGCCCACCCAATGACACACTTCCGCCAGCAAGGCTACACTTTCTAATGATTCCATGACCCCCACCCTCACCCCCAAAGTGCCAACTGGGGACCAAGTGTTCAAATACCTGAGCCTATGGGAAACATTTCTCATTCAAATCACCAAAGCCTACAATACCTCTTTTTGCACACAGCCTTACCTAGTGACTAGACACCTGTCTGTGTTCACTCCAAAGAGGAGAAAAGGAGCTTCCAGAAATGAGGGCTGAAATTCTGTGGCTCATCCCCTTCTTCACTCTCACTGAGCTCACCAACGGCTTCCCGAGGGTGAGTTGACACATCCCGTCTCTCTGCAACCATCTCTCTTCTCCATTCTTCTGGTACATTTAGAATCCATCACTCTCTAGGCAACTGAAACTATATAAGTTGGTGAACTTGGCATCAGAAGCCCTTATTTCAACATTAGCAGTGTTCACTGTGAGACCTTGGATAAGTTATTTTATCTCGTTGGGGCTCAAATGACTGAGTTACAAATGGGGCACTGCAGTTAAAATTAAACTGTCTTGAATAACTTTGTCTAGTTGAATGCACTCTCTTCTGTGGCCTCTTAGGCATGCAAAGACTACATGGGTTGACATTAGCAATCCCTGTCTCTCTGCCTCTCTGTCTCTCTGTCTCTCTCTTTCTCTCTCTCCCTACCGCCTCTCATTTCTACTCAATTTTTCCCCTTTAATTTTGCTTGTTTTGTACATGGTCTCATGTAGGTTGGTCTCAAACTTACTTGGTAGCTGAGGCTGATTTTCAACTCCTGATCTTGCCTCTACCTCCTAAGGACCAAGCTTATAGGTATGTGATGCCACACCTGGCTTTATCTTTTGTTCTTTTGAGACAGGGTCTGGCTACATAGCCCTGCCTGACCTGGAACTCCTTATGGAGACCAGGTTAACTAGAAACGTCCAATGATCCTCCTACTTCTGCCTCCCAAGGGTCAGTGTGCTTGCTTTGCTTCTTTTTCCCCCCTATTTACGTGTGTGTGTGTGTGTGTGTGTGTGTGTGTTGTGCATGTGTATATGGTTGTTGTGTATGTATTGGCACACATGTGTATGGGTGTGTGTGTATATGGAGGTTCAAAGTTGATTTCTAAAATCATCCTTGATTGCTTTTCTACTTAATTCATTGAGGCAGGGTCTCTCAATCAATCCCAGAGGTCAGCAACATGGCTTGTCTTGCTAGCCAGCTTGCTTTAGAGACCCGGTCTCCATCTTCTTATTCTGGAATTATAGGCAGGTTGCCAAATTTGACCAGCATTTACAGGGGTTCTGGGGATCCCAACTGATTCTCATGCCTGTGTGGCAAACGGTTTAAGCACTGAGCCATCGCCTAGATCTGGCCTACATTTCTTGATGCTTTCATCTAGGATCATGGTTTGAATGTGCTCTACTCACTGACCCTCAAATGTGTATTTCCATCCAGATCTCTCATCAAACTCCTCACTCACATACCTACTGCCTACTTGCTACCTCTAATTGGGCACCCACAGCTCTTCAATTTGGTGTGTCCCAAACTGAACCCAGACCTGTTTCCTTAGCAAGCCTATTCCTCTTTTTCTATCTCATCAAGTAGTACCATCATCTTACCACTTGCTTTGGGGGCAAAAAGTGGTGTTATGCTTAAGTCCTGTCACACTGCATATTTAAATAATCTTTTTTTGCCTTTATTTTTAAAATATATACAGAAGTCAAATACTTTAAAAATTATTTATTATTATTGTATGTGTATGAGTGTATTGCCTGCATGTAAGTGCAGTCATGTTGTGCAGTGCCCACAGAAATTAGAAGAGGGTGTTGGATTCCCCTGGAATTGAAGTTACAGATGGCTGTTGGTCGTCGTGTAGGTACTGGGAGCTAAACCTGGGTCCTCTGCAAGAGCAGCAATGCTCTTAACCACTGAGTCATCTCTCCAGTCCTGAGAAGTCAAATACTTCTAACTGCTTCTACGGCTGCTACTTTTGCCTATTCTCTCTCTCTCTCTCTCTCTCTCTCTCTCCCTCTCTCCCTCTCTCTCTCATTATCTCAGTAACTCCAGAAATGTTCTGCTTGCTTCCATGCTTGGCCATTCTCAACATGGATTCTGGACTGAGGCTTCTATAAAGTAAATTAGAGTGATTTTTTTTTCTGTTCAAAACCTTGCTATCTCACTTAGGTAAAAGCTAAAATCAGGGCTGGGGAGATAGCTCAGTGGGTAAGAGCTCTTGTTCTGCAAGCATGGCAAATCTGAGCTTGGATCCCCAACACGCACTTTAAAAAGCTGAGTGTGGCTGGGTATGCCTGAAACCCTAAGTATTGGGGGCAGAGACAGCTAGGTGTGGAGACCTCTCTGCCAGGCATCCTAACCAGAATGACAGTCACCTTTCAGTTCAGTGAGAAACCCTGTCATAAGGGGGTAAAATGAAAGGTGACAGAGGAAGATATTCAATGTCTTCCTTGATCTCCAAATGTGTACATGGACACACACACACACACACACACACACACACACACTACCCCCCCTCAAGTTAGAGCCCTCTGAAATAGCCTGACAGAACTACATGACCTGCCACTGGGGGACTCTGGCCTCACCTCTTGCTCCTTTCTTCCTGCTGCCTCACTAAGCTGCTCTGACATCACTCAGTCTTTACAGCTCCACACATGCTGCTCCCTCCAACTGAAAAGCTCTTCTGCCCTGATCATCACTTCCTCCCCTTCTTCAGGTCTTTGATCAAATGTAGCCTCAGCAAGGACTTTCTTTGACACCCTCTCATCATTCTTGGCTTGGATATGGAATCCGTGACTTCAATTCACCTGAGAAACGCAACAAGGCCATATGATGTGCAAGTATCAAAGCCTCACCATAACTATCTGCTTTTCTTTTTATCAGAGAAATTATGACTTCAAAACAAAAAGAGAATTCAGTGTGGATAAGCAAATCCATCCAGGTAAAGCTTTATTTTTATAGCCTAGTGAAGTAGCCTTTGGTTTTGAGAGAACAGGGTTCCTGCCCGAGTAATGTCTCTGATGGCCATGTGATCTTAGGTATGTTATAAAACACACCAAGTCTGTAAAGTGAGAATACTGGTAATTCTTAAGTGTGACATATTTCTGAGGGTTAAATAAAGGCGTGGTAGATTGTTTTCCGCTGTTGTGGTCATACAGCTTACTAAAGCAACTTAAAGAGGGAAAGGAGAGCAGCTCAGTAGTTAAGAGCACTGGCTCCTCTTATAGAGGACCTGGGTTCAGTTCCCAACATCCACATGGCATTTATCAACTGTCCATAACTCCAGTTTCTGGGGATCTGGCCTCCACAGGCATTGCATGCATGGATACACATTCATGCAGGCAAAACACTCATACACGTAAAAATAAATAAATAAAAATTTTAAAAGAAGTAAAGATTTAACTTGGCTCATAGTTTAAAAGGAAATGTAGCCAATCACAGTGGCTAGAGCCCAAGGCAACTGGTCACATTGTGCCCACATTCAAAAAACAGAGAGAGATGGTTGCTGGTGCTCAGCTCACTTTCTCCTTTTTTCCCTTTATTCAGCTCCTGGGATGGTGCCATCCACACTCAGGGTGGGTCTTCCCTACTCAGTTAAACCTGTCTGGAAGTTCCCTCAAACATACATCCAGAGATGTGTCTCCTAGGTGACTCCAAATCTAGTCAAATTGACACACAGTATCTTGTACCATACCTGACAAGTCTACTTCTTGGTCTTTTTCTTCTGTGTCTGCCTCCTACCAATGTAATTATTGGGCAGAGCTTTCTGTTTAGGTGTGTGTCCTAGTCTGGATTTTAATTCCCAACACTGATGTCTAAAGCACTTAATGTATTTCCTGGTGAAAGCTGTGATTTATACAGATCATAACTATGTTCTTGGGCCAGTCCACAAAAGTCTTTCAGTTGTGCAGTGTATTTAAATACATTTAAAGAGCACACAGCCATAGCACAGAACTTCCTGATACATGAGACTACAGTTCTTTAGGAAAATGAAATGAAATTTTCAACTTAGAATACTACAAACACTTTTTTTCCTGACATTACAATTGCAATAAAAATACAGCAAATATTTCTCTATTGATCTGTCATGGTGTGCAAGGTATTGAACTCTTTATATGAAATGAATTGTCACACTCACCCTCTGAATGTACAATGGCCATCTTCATTTAATTTATTTTATTTTTGAAACAGGACCTCCCTTTAGCCCAAGCTGGTCTGAACTTGCTATGTAGCTCGATCTCACAGTGATCCACCTGCCTCGACTTCCTGAGTACTGGGATCAAAGGCATGTGCTACCATGTCTTTATTTTATTTTTAAAGATATGATTTTACTTTTATTCCTGTGTGTGTATATGTGTGTAGGTGCCCCTTGAAGGCCAAAAGAAGGCGTCATCCCCTGGAGCCGGAGTTATAGGCAGTTTTGCGCCACATAGCATGGGTTCTGGGACTTGAACTCAAGCTCTCTGAAAGAATAGCAAGCCCTCTTAACCACTGAACCATCTCACCAACCCTGCCATATTTTTATTAGCAGATTGTAAAACTAAGGCACATAACTAGGGTCTATAAGACACAAAAACACTCAATCAGGATCCAGATTCAGTGCCATTAATCTCTGATAATGTGACCAGGGTCACCCTTTCCCCCCATGCTCCATCTCTTGGGGTGACTCCCAGTTTTATGGGGGACTATAGATAATATTCAAAACCAGTCAGTCTGACTCCAGAGCTAGCACATGCAAAGGCCCAAGGGTAAAAAGAGTGGACTTGGCATGTGAAGGAAGTGGGAGACACCAGAGCCCCAAAATGAAGATCTATTCTTGGAGAAAGAAAAGAAAGCTGGAGGACAGTGTGTAGATTCAAGTTAAGGTAGATTCTTGTTTTGCTTTTGTATTTCAAGTAAATACTCAAACTCCAGTAATGAATAGAACATATTCTACAAGATAAGAAAAAGCTCTCTGGAATGGGTAAGACTATGGGTTTTATGTTGGTGATATTTCAAGGAGACCAAGGCTGGAGGAAGAGTGACTAGAATGTTCTCTCACATGTTTCCCCTTGAATCTGGGGTAAGACACAGAGCACGGAGCTATAGACAGAATTGAGAGAAGATACTTTTATGAGGGGTGTATGTTGCTTCTGTTTACTCCGGATGTTCATTTTCAGTCAGTGTCTGGATGTGCAGGATGAAGTAACAAGCAGCACAGGGCAGCCCAGAAGCTCTAAGCAAAAGTGATGGCTGCTTTAGTGATTTCCCCTTCACAGTCAGGAGACTCCTGACAATCTCTTTTTCTACCCCTAGTCCAGGAGTACGAGGTGCTGCTTCAGATGCCTTACAGAGATGCCAAGGAGAAGAAAGAATTGGAGAGATTTCTGAAGCTCTTGAAATCTCCAGCATCATGCTTACGTGGGCCCACCAAGATTGTCAGAGCAAAGGCCACCACATGTAAGTCAGCCCTGCAGTGACAAGGAGCATAAATGGGGAAAGTGAACAGGTCAGTCAGGGGAGGTTAAGTTGTGCTGGGAAAACCATCATCCCCACAGGCTCTGTGAAGATCTAATGGCTTTGTTTCTTCTTCATGTAATATTTCCATTGCAGGTTGGAAGTGGGGGTGGGGTCAGATGTCTGTGGTTATCTTGGTGCCAGCTGATGGATCAGATTGTTTTTTGGCAGGGTCCCCCTAGACCCAGCCAACCTGAAGTCACTAGGTGGACCAGGCTGACCACCTCTATCTCACAGAGATCTACCTGCCTCTGTCTCCAAAGGGCTGGGATTAAATGTGCTTGCCACCACGCCCCATGTGAAGCCCTAGAGTTTTACATAGACAATAACATTCTTTGACTAAGAAATGATAGACAGTAATTCTGCTCCCCTTTTATTGGCCAGAACTTAATCCATGACCCCATTAAGCCCTGTGACTCCAGGTTATGCAATCCCACTACATACCTAGAAGATAGCGAGAAATATTAGATAAAAGGCATTCATAACCACAAAAGTGGGGTCCAGAGAAGTTTAATGACTTGGCTCAAGCAGTGATTCTCAAGGACTATCACCAACAGCAGCAGGGAACCTGACAGAAATGTAAATTCTTTGGTCCATTTCAGACTTGTTGGAGCAGAGACTCTGGAGTGAGACCCTCCAGGGGACCCTGATGCATAAGAAAGTTTGACAAGCATTCAGTATACACTTCTGTGAATATTTTCCCAAGATATCTATGATCCCCTCCTTTACCTTCCTAATAATAAGGAAGGACTGTTGGAGGAATTTCAGGGTTTTAATAATATTTTATTTTTTATTATTTTTATTGTATGTATATGGGTGTATTGTCTGCATGTGTGTAAGTGCACCTGAGTTGTGCAATGCCCAGGGAGGTCAGAAGAAGGTGAATGCCCTGGAACTGGAGTTAAGGATGGTTGTTAGCTGCCATGTGGGTGCTGGGAACCAAACCCAGGTGCTCTGCAGGAGCAGTCAGTGCTCTTAACCATTGAGCCATCTCTCCAGCCCTCAGAATTTCAGGTTTAATACAAATATATATATAGTTGACTAGTAGAAGTTTTAATCATGACTCTGCCTTCCAACAAATCTCTCTGGCTTTTCTATGTTGCCTTTAAGGCCTCCCTTGGAGTGGTAACAGGTGAATTGAAGGGGACTCTAATAAGATGTGGTCAAATACCTCTAGAATCTGTTCAATAACTCCCATGTTGCAAATATCCTCTTCTGTTTCTCTCTTCCTTCTTGCTGGATCTGTGTGATGTGCAATCTCATTTTACATGCTAAGCCCAGCCATTTAAGTTTTAACTTTGCTAGATGTGCTACTTAGCTTCAGCTGTCAACTTGACATACCTGGGAAAAGGGAATTTCCTTCATCAGATTGGCCTGTTGTCATGTCTGTGAGGTACCTTCTTAATTGCTAGTTCGTGTGAAAGTGATCAGCCCATTGTGGATGGTGCCACCCCTAGGCAGATGGTTCTGGGTTGTATAAGAAATCAGGCTGAGCATGGGACATGGGGAGCAAACCAGTAAGCAGTGTCCCTTCCCAATCTTTGCTTCAGTTCCTGCCTCCAGGTTTCTGCCTTGAGTTCCTACCTTGACTTCCCTCAGTGACAAACTGTTTCCTGGAATTATGAGATGAAATAAACCCTTTCCTCCCCCAATATTTTTTTTTGTCAGAATGTTTTATCATAGCAATAGAAAAGTAAACTTGAACACTAGGATTCTGAGACCAATCTCAGAGTCTATGGTGTTGGACATTTCCATACCATATTGACATCCTGAATTTATCCTTTAAGCTTCTGGTGAGAAATCCTTGGTTCAGATTCCAAGTCAAAGCCAAGGACTGAGCAATAGTCAGTTTAGAAAGCAGAATCCATGAAACCACATTCTGTTTTTGTGTATGCGCAGACTGCAGCAGCCTAAATGGGGTCCTGCAGTGTGCCTGTGAAGACAGTTATAGCTGGTTTCCTCCCTCCTGCCTCGACCCCCAGAACTGCTACTTTCACAAGACTGGAGCCCTCTCAAGCTGCAAATGCCATCGTGCTGACCTCAGTCAGAGTGTCAACTTCTGTGAGAGAGCAAGTAAGCACCTCTGGGCTGGGGTGGCCATCCCAGCATGCAACAGAGACAGTACTGTAGCCCTTTGCCTGGCTGAGGAGAGCTGATGCTGAAGGGTAGTGATGAGATGCTCTGTTAGACTTGTCTAGACCCAGTGAGAGCTTCCTAAGTGTGGAAGAATCAAAACCACAGGTTGACATTTGGATGTCATTTGAGCCTCGAGGTAATTGAAGTTCAGTTCTGCATTTTGTTTTTCTGTTGAGATTTAGGGAGATTCAATAAAATCCTGATGCTTGAGTAAGCAACGTCTTCTTCCTACTCGTTTTTCTTTCCAATGTTAACTCTAGATATATGAAGGAAGTTATCCATTCATGGTGATTGTATTGAATGGACTGGTAAGAATTTCAACAAATGTAAACAAATAAATCTCTCTCTCTCTCTCTCTCTCTCTCTCTCTCTCTCTCTCTCTGCTGAGGGAGCTTCCTCAGCTAAGGTTAACTGTTGTTGACTTTGGTTTCTGTTTGGTGAAGATGAGGTAATCCCAGTGACAGAGCCTACAGATTATAATAAACTTTTAAGAAATTTCTCACTAGCCAAGTACAGTGGCTGATGCCTGTAATCCTGGCCCTCAGGAGACTGAAGCAAGGGGATTGCTATGAATGTGAGGTGAGCGTAGGCTATACAGTGAGTTCCAAGATAGTCGGGATGAGATACTGTCTGAAAAGAAAGGGAGGGGGAGACAAGAAAGAGAACTGAAGGAGGAGAAGCTACTTCCCCAAAGACTACTCTAGTCATCTTGAAGATCTAGATTTTAGAAACAAGGGAAGACTGAAGGAGGAGTCAAATATAGTCCAGATTAACTGGTCATCCTTGGCAACATGCATTTATTAAGCACCATGTTTTATGCCCAGTCCTGGGGGAAATTCTAGGAGAGGTAAAAAGGAAGCATTTTTCTTGCTTTCTGTGAATTAATTTCCAGGTTTTTTTTTTTTTTTTAGGAAGCCAGGCATAATATAAGAAAGAAAAGAATGTAACTTGTTTAACAGATATCAATTAAAGCCTGTCTTTTGCAAGAAGATCCATGCCTAATCCATCAACAAAAAAAAGATGGATCAGACAACCTTGCACTCTTAAGGAGTTTCCCATAGTATTGTAGGAACAGATAGGGACAGATGGATAAAGTACTGTTAGAACTCAGAGGTAGAAAAGACTCTGGTGGGGACCAGAGAAGGGCTTTCAGAGGAGGTGATGATTGGGTCCTGAATGCAGAATGAGCAGGAGTTGTTCACAGAGAGACCCACACACTGCAGAGGAACACTAGCACTGAGCAAGCAGGCAAAGGGTGCATTGCAGTTAGGAAATAGTGCTGTGATTTTTTTTTCAGGGCTTGGGGAAATGACTTGCTCAATAAAGTGCTTGCATCTCTAGCACCCACATCAGAAAAGATCTAACTTAGCAGCCCATGTCTGTCATCTCAGAAGCAGGGAGGTGGAAACAGAGGGTCCCAGTGCTTGCTGGCCAGCCAGTCTAGCTGAATTAGTGAGCTCCAGGTTCAGTGAGAGACCCTGTCTCAAAGAATAAGGTGGAGAGCAGTTGAGGAAGACACCAGATACTGATCTTTGACCTCCATGTGTGTACACACCATGTGCACATACATATAGCACAGAGCACATCTCTCTCTCTCCTCTCTCTTTAATTGGGGTAATGTGGCAGCAAAGTGCCTTGGATAGAGGGATAGAGGCATATTTCAGTGTCCACCATCTGCCTCTTTCACTCTCTTTCATCCACATATTTACCTATTGGAAGTTTGTCCCTGTCACCTTCACTGTCCCATTATTATTTCAAATTCACATCTGAAAACCCTGGATTTTTATGTGTTTCATTTATTATCTTAGGTGAATGTATATTATGAAAAGAAATAGAAATTCTACCATTGAACAGGTGGGCTCTGAATTGTACTTCCATAATTTTAGGTTGCTACTAAAATCAAGTTAGGAATTTATTGTATCTAAAAACTGTTTTTTTATTTCCCATAGAGGTTTGGGGCACTTTCGAAATTAATAAAAAATTTACCAAAGACCTTTTGAATTCATCTTCTGCTGTATACTCCAAATATACAACTGAAATTGAAAATCAAGTAAGCACTATCTACTTACTACATAAGGATTTGCTTGCATCCACAAGTTCTGATGTTTTTCAATTTAAAATGGATATTTAATACACATTTTGTGTGTGCTTCTGCCTACATAGTGGTGTGCATGTGGGTGTCTGTGTGTGCGTGTGCGTGTGTATGTGTACATGCATGTGTGCGCATGTCGAGGTCAGAGGACAATCTCAGGTGTCGATCCTCAGGTACCACCAATCTTTCATTTTTGAGACAAGTTTTCTCATTGGGGCTCAACAATTCAACTAAGCTGGTTGGTCAATGAGCTCCCGGATCTGCCTGTATCCACCTCCCCAATGCTGAGTTTGTAGAGATTGTAAGTGTGCACCAACACACCAGGGTGTTTTTTAAATGCAGATCCTGAGGATCTAAGCCAGGTCTTCATGCTTGCAAGATATACACTCTACTGACTGAGATAGCTCCACAGCCTCTTAATACACATATTTTTAAAAGACTTAATTTTTTTAATATTTCATTTTCGAGAGTTTCATACATGAATATTGTATTTGCATTATTTCCTCCCCTCCCAGTCTGCCTCTAACTCCTCCCATGACCCTCAACTCCCTCTCAGTTTCTTACCCTCTTCGTTAGTATTGTTAAATTTCCTCCCTCAGCAGCCATTTTCCCTGTAGCTCTTCATCTAGAGGTGGAATCCTGTGAAATTTCCCCCGTTTACCTTGGCGTGTCAACTGGTTTGTCATTTTGCCGATCTTCTCCGTACTATGGAGATTTCATTGGTACTGCTTCCCTATCATATCTAGAATGCATTAACTATCAGCAGGTGTCTTGTCCCTCTGACTCTCACAATACTTCCAGTCCCCTTTTCCCAGCTGCTCCCTGAGCCTTAGGTGTAGAGGTTGCATTGTAGACATGTCCCTTAGGGCTGGGCACCTCACAGTCACTTTTTCTCCTCATTTGAACAGTTGGGGAACTTCATAAGAATCTCCATCTGTTGCAAAAAGAAGCTTCTTCGATGAGTGGTGAGACGTACACCTGTCTGTAGATATCAGGACACATATTTAGAATACAGTAAGAAATTACGTTGGTCTAGGAAAGTGACAGGAGTGGGTTCTTCTCTAGGAGCTATGACCTCATCAACTGTGTGTACTTGGCTATGTGTTACAGCAATTTATTTAATTTTAAATTGTGTGTATGTTTGTGTGTGTCTCTGTGTGGAAAGATGCATGTGTGATCCCCTGGAGCTGGAATTACAGGCAGTTGTGAGCCATCCAACATGGGTGCTGAGAAGTGAACTTGGGTCTTCTACAAGAGCAGTGTGTGCTTTTAAACACCGAGCCATCTCTTTAATCCCTTCATACATATTTAATTACTTATTTTTCAAGAATTACTACAGAGTCATTATTTGCTCTATGCACAATTGACAGAGCATTTTTCTTGAGCATTTTCCTGGGAAATTTTTGTCAATTGACTTATTATTTTGTGTTTAGTTTTGTTACTTATTTGAATACTATACTAAACTAAGGATTCTCTATGTTTTCTAGCTTTTATTTATTTTATTTTTTAAAATTTGTTTTTATTGAATTTTTGTGTATTTCATTTTGCATAAAGAAAATTACCATAACCTAAACACAATTGTCAGCATTTTAATTTATTCTGAAAGTTACTGAGCAAAACTTTTGACTTCATGGAGAGGTCACATAAGAGCTAGAACAGTCATTGTACCTCTGTCAGAGATGATGGCTGGCGTGGTGTTCACTGAAGACATAAGCAGATGGATTTAGTTTAAATACCTGCAAGAATTAATAGTTGGTTTTGATAAGGAGAGCACAGATCTGGTGTAAATTTATTATATTATTTAGCATCATATTCCTCTCCTAAGAAGTTCATTATTCACTTTGTGTGTGTGTGTGTGTGTGTGTGTGTGTGTGTGGTGTGCATGTTTTCATGCTTTGTGTACATGCAGGTACACATGAACATCTGTGCACATGTATGAGAGGCCAGAGGTAGATACCGGGTATCTTCCAATATTGCTTTCAATCATATTATTTTATTATTCTTTCGAGGCAAAGTCCCTCATTGAACTCAGCACTCACCAGTTGGCTATCTCTGTGTTCCCTCCACCCCCCTGCAGTTACAGATGGATCTGACCATGCCCCGTTTTCCCCACGGGTGCTAGGAATCTGAATTCCAGTCCTCATGACTGTGTGGCAGGCACTTTCTGATGAAACCATCTCACCGGCCTCTGATTACTCACCTTTTTTTAAATCACAACCTTGAAACACAAATTTCACGTGTGTATGTGCACATGTGTGTGTCCATTCTCAGTTGTTCATTTTAGCTGTGTTTGATGCAACACACAACTTCTTCCCGTGGTTTTTCCCTCCTTTGCTGTTTGCTGAGGTTGGTTTACTTATTGTCTGTGTCCATCTTTTGCTCAAATGTCTTTTGATGTTTGAGGACAAAGACTGAAACATTGTCCTTTGTTTTTTTTTCTAAGCTTAAAGAAGCATACAGAGGAATCCAAGGTTTTGAGTCAATTCAGGTCACCCAGTTCCGGTAAGTACCAGCCTTAGAAGGGCCTCTCTAGAGTTGTGTACTCATCCTGAGAATGTCCAGTGATAGTCCTGCTGGCCTTGAACTTGCCTTGTAGCCAAGGTTGGCCTTTGAATACCTCCCACCCCTTTCTCAGTGCCCAGCTTTGACTAGTCTTTCTAATAGGATGCTTCCCAATGAAGTGTTTTCTAAATGTCTGAAGAGGAAGGCCCTAATTTTTACTTAAATGAGCTTAGGAACTTAAATACTAAAGAGCATTGAAAGTAAAGGTAAAAGAACTGAATTGCAAAAGTAGTGTGGGAGAGACAGTTCAGTAAAGCATATGCCTTGCAAGCATGAGTTCCTGAGCCTGATTCCCAGAAACCCTGTAATAATGCCGGGTGTGGTAGTATACCCTTGTAGTCCGAGCACTGGGGAGAAAGAGACAGGAGGATCCCTGGGGCTTGCCGGCTGGCTAGTCTTGTCTAATTTCTAGATCAGCAAGAGACCCTGTCTCAAAAGAAGTGAATAGGGGGCTGGAGAAATGGCTCAGTGGTTAAGAGCACTGGCTGCTCTTGCAGAGGACCCATGTTTGATTTCCAGAACCCACATGGTAACTAGCAGCCATCTGTAACTCCAGTTCCAGGAGATCTGATGCCCTCTTCTGGCTTCTGCTGGCTTTACACAACACAGTTGCACTTACACACATGCAGGCAAAACACATAAAATTTTAAAAAGTGATTTTTTAAATTTTAAAATAAAAAAAAAGAAGTGAAGATCTTCCTGAGGACACATGAGGTTGTTTTCTGGCCTTCACATGCATGCACACACACATTCAAATGTTCATGCACTTGTGCAACACACACACACATACACACACACACATATTAACAAACAAATTACAAAAGCATAATAGTTAAGACAAAGCCTTCGGAGGAAGCAGGAGATCATGATGTGCATGTCTGGGTGGAGCGAGGGATAACATGAGGGGTGAGGTATAGAAAGGTGAATATTTCATATTTCCCCTTCACAGCTACAGGGGTCATGATGTATAATTTGGAACCAGAATAAAGGCCTCAGATGAAATATTATCTTTTTGTTTGGGTATTATGTATGTACTACAGCTTAAAACTTCATAGCCATTGTCTACAGCAAATAAAGAGATATTTAGTAAATCATCCTTCTGTTTATGCTTCGATTCAAAAGTTATTTGGAGAGTTGAATATGAGTACATTGATTACTATTTATAGTCTGCTTGCTAGAGGAAGTGGCTTAGAGGTCAAATAACTTTACTCATTTTTCCATACTTAACTTAAAAGCAGCCATGGGAAAATTTCAAAAACACTTGCTATAAATATATTTTTCTGGTCACTGGCCTTTAAGTTACTCCATAAAGTCTTTTATGAAGTCCCACAGGAAAAAATTTCTGTAAAATTTGATACTAGGAAAAACACTGCTTTCTTTATTATATTGAATCTCTATCATGAATCTTTTCTTTTTTGACTTCACTGTCAGTGAATTATTAGACCAAACTGAGACCCAATTCCAACAAGTTGTGCATTCAAAGAGTGAATAAATAACCAAATGTGCTGGTGCATGCTTGTAATCCCAGCATGTGTGAACACATGTGTATGTATACGTGTGCCTGTTTGTATTCGTGTGTGTGCATGCATGTGTGTGTGTGGGGGGGTGTTATCTCTTTGCTCCATGAAGACAGGTATCAAGTCTGCTTAGTTTATTCCCGGGGACCCCAGGCCACATATACGCAAATTTGGCCCCAGGTAACTGAATGTGTAGACAATAAATTTCTGTTTTCATCCTGCATCTTCACTGCAGAGAAGGAAGCATCTTTACTGGCTATGAAGTCACAGGCTCCAGCAGCACAGCTGAGCTCCTGTCTGCCATTCAACAGGTGGCTGAGGAGGCTAAGACAGCCCTGCACAAGCTGTTTCCACTAAAAGATGGCTCCTTCCGAGTGTTTGGGACAGGTAATGTGGGTTCCCGGCCTTTGCTTCGGTTTTTCTTTAGTAGTGCATGGTGTCCTCAGAAAGTAGATTGGAGACCTATGTTTCCCAAGCAAATTGTTCTAAAACTGACTTTCAGTAGAAACAGACAGCTATTTACCCTACCATAATAGAACTCAAGTTCAGATGACTGATTTTGATCGTTACTAATTGGAGATCTGAAGTCTCAGTGTAAATATCACAGAAGACTCATTTCACTGCGGGCTGTGATGGATGTGACTCAGCAGTGCTTTATGGCATGCATGTCAAAAGAGCCCTCATGCTGACAGTAGTTCTAAATTACCATCCAAAGACCCAAGGGAAAAAGCACCTCCATGTCTCACATACACACGCATCACCTTTTTCTTAAATATTATCTTAGTTTTGTTTCCTTTTGCTATGATATTATAACCTGACAAGAGCAACTTAGGGGAGAAAGGGTTTATTCTAGCTCAAAATTCACCCCTTCCACAGCTCCTCCCAGTTCCAAACCCTCCTTCCCTATACACCCAGCTTTGTGTCTTCTATCTCTGTTTAAACCCAGTGAGTCCAATTGCCCATATATATACTCTTGGCTCTGTAGCCATTCTCTGGAGCATGGTCGACTACCCTTAATGAAGGCTGACTCTTGGGCTCTGACATGGTAACTCCCAGCACTTGGGAAAGGCAGGTGGATCTCTGTGAGCTGGAGGCCAGCCTGGAACATAATAAGTTCCAGGCCAGCTAAGACTGCCTAGCGAGACCCTGTCTAAAAAAATATTTTTAAAAAAATAAAGAAAAGAAAACTGAGTCTCTCTCTCTCAGTTGGCAATAGCTTCTCAGCTACATGTGGGACTTTGTGCCCACCTCTGCTCTCCATGCTGGGATTTACTCTGCCTTGAACGCAGGTCTTGTGCATGTTGTTGCAACCACTATGAGTTTATAAGAGCAAGTGCCCGGTTGTGTCTGGCAAACACTGTTTCGTTGTAGTGACTCACTGCCTCTGGCTCTTACAGCCTTTCCAGCCCCTCTTTTTTTGGGTAAATTTTTAATTGAATTTTTGTGTATTTCATACAGAACATCTTAATCATCTTTATACCTCCTTCCCCATTGGCACCCTTCCGTAACCCCCCACTGGATTTCGTCCAGCCCCTCTTTTGAAATGATTCCTGAGCCTTTGGAGCAAGGGTGGATATGGGTGTTCCATTTATGAGTATTCCACAGTCTCTTGTTTTCACTTAATACTTATCAGCTGACATTCCATAAGGGTGATATTACTGATACAGGTCAGATACATGGAAGGAGGAGTCAGCCTCGAGCAAGAAGGAAAGAACACAAGGATGAAGTTGGGCATCAACGTGATACTTCTACTTGTTAATTTTCCCTGGGTTTTATATCTGGAGCTATAACTTCTATTTTTTTGGAAAACATTTTATTTATTATTTTTATTTCATGTGTATGAGTGTATTGCATGCATGTATGTAAGCGCACCTGTGTTGGGCAGTGCCTGTAGAGGTCAGAGGATGTTGGATCCCCTGGAACTGGAATTATAGACCGTTGTAGCTGCCATGTGGTTCTTGGGAACCGAACCCAGGTCCTCTGTAAGAGCAGCCAGTGCTCTTGACCACTGAGCCACCTCTCCAGCCTCTGGAAATAAAACTTCTAAAGCATTTGAATATGCATGTTTCATATAGAGTGCTGGAATGTCTGGAGTCATTTTTCTGTCTCTGCTGTTTTCCAGTACAGTGTTACAGCACTTACTTTGGATTTGGGTCTGAGAATGATGAATATACCTTGCCCTGTAGCAGTGGCTTCACCGGAAGCATCACGGCCAGGTGCCAGTCCTCTGAGTGGCAGATCACTCGGGAGTCCTGTGTGCTCTCTTGGCTGGAAGAACTAAAGAAGGTGACACATTTCACATTGTACACATGGCATTTTGAGTTTCATGGTGGGCATCTCCCAGTGAGTGTGTGTAGGTGAGGGTAAAATAAGACCAGATGTATCACAGAACAGGTTGCAGAAGATGAGGGTGGCGTCAGGCATGGCTGGCAAAGTCAGAAAATGTCGGAGTTGATGGCTCTGTCACAGAGGGGTAGAGTGACTCAATGATGAGGGCTACGATGGGTGCTAGTACAGCAACTAAGCTGGCCTTGGAAGTCAAAAAGGCCTGGGAGGGACTGGAGAGTTGGCTCAGTGATTAAGAGCACTGACTGCTCTTGCAGAGGATCCAGGTTCGAGTCCCAGCACCCACATGATGGCTAACAATTGTCCATAAGACCAGTTCTAGGGGATCCAATGCCCTATTCTGTCCTCCATGGGCATTGCACAACACGGGTGCACTTACATATATGCAGACAATATATGCTTACACATAAACAAAATTTTAAAAAATTTAAATATCTTATTTATTATTTTTATTCTGTGTGTATATGTGTATTGCCTGCATGTAGGTAAGTGCACCCATGTCATGCAGTGTCTGTGGAGAACAGAAGAGCCTGTCAGATCCCCGGGAACTGGAGTTAAGTTATGACAATTGTTAGCTGCAATGTGGGCACTGGGATTCGAACCGGGTCTTCTGCAAGAACAGTCAGAGCTCTTAACTGCTGAGCCATCTCTCCAGCCCCATAACATTTTTTAAAGTTTTTAGAAAGAAGGCCTTGGAGTTGAAGATTAAAAGAGAGGCAGGAGTCAGGGCAATATACTTAATGCAAGTAAGATGCTGTAATATCTTCAGTTGGAATAATGGGTGGGTTTGACAGAGGTGACCAAGGCTAATGACGCATCTGCAATGGACCTTAAAGGTAATCTGATCTACCAAATTTCTGGAGAGTTAAAAAACAAAAGGCCCAGCAGCCAATAGTTCATTTGGTAATAGTGATATTGATCTAGAAACAGCATCACTTGATTCCCACTTCAATGCTGGGGCTGCCTCTCTAGTTCCTTTATTTTATTTTATTTCTTTTTAAAAAATATTTTATTTATTTGTTTATTTTTCTTTTTATTGATTGATTTTGTGTGTGTGTCTTTCATACCAAACATCTCAAACAATCTTATTCATCTTTATACTGCATCCCAAATGGTACCCTCTCATATCCCCCGCACCCAGAGTCCATATACTCTGTCATCCCTGTTACTGTCCACTCTGTTATCAGAGACCCCGGCTATTACCCAGTGCTAGTTCATCTGCTGAATCTAGTCAGCCTATCTAGAGTTCCTTGTTTTCGGAAGATCAGCTCTTCCTCATCTAACAGCAATCAGTTGCCAACATTGAGTAATTTTGGGAGTTTCTTGGACCACCTTGGCCAACAACTCAAACAAAGGTATTTCCTGTCTGGCACTGTTTCTTATTATGTAGCCTTTAGCTGTACACATGGACTCTTAAAGAATTGTATTGATCCCTTTAATCTTTGTTTATATTTTCCTTTGGGTGTTTAAGACCATGAAGTTGGCCCAGATTAACCAATTTATTTTTACTCTTAAGGTTGTTTGAGGATCTGTTCCTCAGGGGTCATATGGGCTTGGTAAGAGTCCCTGGCTCCTTTCTTTTACCAGTTCCATCTATGTAAAGATAAGTCAAAGGTCCTGCTCGAGCATGGCTGGTTTCACTTGGAAGCATGGAGGAAATGTTTCCTCTGTGTTAACCTTCTTTTTGTAGACTGGACACTGGTTCAAGTCCATCTGGTGGGGTCTCCATGGCCTCCTTGATCAAGAGGACAGGTGACTCACAACAGTTACAGGACATTTTGAGAGATGTTCCATAGGCCCCTGGAACTTAATCAACCTTGAAGGCCAAGGAGCCAAAACTGTCCTTTAAGTTCTTCTGACCAGATTAGTATAGGCCTCAAAGTATGGCTGTTAAACATCCAAGAAGGTTAGTTCCACCAGTCTGGTACTTTTGATTACCATGAGCTATGTAGATAAAGCTTGGGCAAAACCCAAACATTCTCAGATAAACCTTGACTAGACATATATTATGTTCCTTGAGCTAGTCGTATGTATAATTTGTGAGTAGGTTGTTGGATTACTATGTTCCCCTCTGGTTTTTTAAAACTGGCTAGGCATTACTTATCTCTCTCATTGTCTAACCTTCCACCATGGTTTCCCCATTGTTCCCGTTTCTCCCTTAATAAAACCTTCTCCTATGGTCTCTCCTCTCTTGAGCTCCATCTTTCCCTTTATCCCCAAGTTTCCTTGTATAACCATCCCTCCTCATTCCCATTAAAATAACCCCATTTTTATCCATATTTACCTTATTAACGCCTGTTTCCTACTGTTCTTCTCTTTCAGGTTCTTTCTTTTCCTTTACCTCCCTGGTTCTTTTCATTATCCTCGTTCCTGTAGTCATGTCTGGATACCTACTCATGTATCAGGATTTGGTGCTAGGAGTCACATATGAGGGAGAACACAGGTTGTTTATTTTTCTGAGTCTGTGTTACTTCACTTAGTATAACAGTTTCTAGTTCCATCCATTTACCCGCAAATTTCATGATTTCATCTTTCTTTACTTCTGAGTAGAACTCCATTGCATAAATGGGTCACTTTTTCATTATTCATTCATCAGTCAAGGGACATTTAGGTTGTTTCCATCTCTTAGCTATTGTGAAAAGAGCAGCAACAAACATGGATGTACAAGTGTCTCTACAATAGGATGAGTTACTTGGGTTTATGCCAAGGAGTGGTATAGCTGGGTCAAGTTATAGGTTCATTTTTAGTTTTTTAAGACTTCTCCACACTGCTTTCCATAGGGGTTGAACAAGTTTGCTGTCCCACCAGCAATGGATGAGCGTTCCCCTTTCCCCAGATCCTCTCGAACATTTGGTATCATTTTTCTCTTGATCTTAGCCAGTCTCACTGGAGTAAGATAAAATCTTAAAGTGGTTTTAATTTGCATATCCCTAATTACTAGTGATGTTGAACACCTTTTAAGATGCTTCTTAGCCATTTTATTTCTTCTTTTGAGAACTCTCTGTTCAGTTCCTTAGCCCATCTTTTAATTGAGTTACTTCCTTTCTTGATTCTTTGTTTTTTGAGTTCGTGCTCTATTCTGTAAACCCCCGTCAGATGTGTCACTGGTGAAGATTTTCTCCCACTCTGTGGGTGTTCTCTTTACTTCCTTGGTTGCTTCTTTTGCTGTACAAAAGCATTTTAGTTTAATAAGGTCCCATTTGTTGATTCTTGACCTTGTTTCCTGAGCAATTGATGTCCAGTTTAGAAAATCCTTCCCTACACCTATATCTAGTAGATTATTGCCAATGTTTTCTTCTAACAGTTTTAGAGTTTCACACCTCACATTGAGGTCTTTAATCCATTTGGAATTGACTTTTGTGCAAGGTGAAAGATAGGGGTTTACTTTCTTTCTCCTATAGGTGGAGATCCAGTTTTGGCAGCACCATTTGCTGAATATGCTGTCTTTCCTCCGGTGAATATTCTTGGCCCCTTTGTCAAATATCAGGTTGCTGAAATTGCATGTACTTATATTTGGGTCTTCAATTTTGTTCCATTGGTCTATAGGTCTATTTTTGTGCCAGTACCATGTTGTTTTTATGACTATAGCTCTGTAATATGGTTTAAAAATCAATCTGGTAAAGTAATCCCCCAAGCATTGCTCTTAGTGCTCAGGGTTGCTTTGGCTATCCGAGGTGTTTTGTGCTTCCATATTAATCTTAGGATTTTTTTCTCCAATTCCATGAAGAATGTCATGGGGATTTTGATTGGCATTGCATTGAATCTATAAATGGCTTTTGGTAGGATGGTCATTTTAACAATATTAATTCTTTCAATCTGTGAGCAATAGAGGTCCTTCTATCTTCTGATGTCTTCCTGAAAC